AGCTAATTTAGTATAATAATAAACACTAGCCGATCTTGTTTTGATGACTTGAACCAAACCACCTTCCAAGTTAAGGCAGACCGCTCTTAGTCATATCATTTCCAATAGTCCAAGGTCGGTATATCAAAATTTTAACATGACTCCGAGGCTTTACGAGCCAATATTTTTTTTTTTGAAATCTCACCATGCATTCCATTGTCTCCCAATATTCCCAGAAGAGACTTCAGCACAAAGAAACCAAACCAAATTTGAGAAAACCTCGGAGTCAAGTTAGAAGTTAACTGAATATGTCGAATCTGGGCTACTAGGAATGGACGAGTTGGCCTTGTGGTGTCGGCTAATTTAACCCTTGAAAGATATACCTTTTGTCAGGAAGTAGCTTCTCTGGCTTTTCTTCAAATTTAGAACCAATCGCCTTTCAACTTGGATACCTTGAGCTTGCGATTCATAACGGTGCAGATATCAGATGTGTGTACTTCCTGGAGTCGAAGTTAATACCTTTCAAAGGTTAACAGGTCTTAATAACTTTGAGATGTATTCGTGCCAGTAAAGATATGCGACGGTTCGTACACACGCACTACTGAAAACGCAAACAAGGTCACATGACCTTCAGTTGTAAGGAATGACCCGCGCTTTGAGTTTGGGAGGCGAGAACGCAAGAACAGCGTTGTCATATACTTTGTTTAATTCAGGTCTGCCTTGGTAGTTAAAGGGACATTTTCTATTCTGTGGACTGAACGTAACAAATAGAAGATGGTTTTTACATGTTAAATAGGAAAACATTGCGCATAACTTTATGTGTTGTAACAGCGCTGTTCTTGAAGTTTTTTTTCCGAGCACAAAGTTTTATATTTATCAATCCCCTGCAATGGCAATGTTTTTCAGTCTTCGACTCGATCTGGAAATATAGAAAAGAACCAGGGAAAGGGGGGGGGGAGGGGGCACACCCCCTCCCCCAGGGGAAAAGAAAAACTTTTCAATATTTTCATTTCCGTTGGGCAATCCTGGCATTATAAGTTGTTGGTTGCACGCCAGTTTACCGGCGACGTCCTGTATAACATATATCCTTCCCTTTCAGAAGATCCGGAAAAGAGAGCTGAGTAACCACAAAATGATCCACCAGATTTTAATAACATACATGTACTATTTTTCCCTGTTTTGTCCCAGGTTGTAATTGGATCATCAATACCCATTCAAAATCTGGCCCCAGTTAACTACTACAAAAAATGACGTAGTTGTATGTAAGGTGTATACTGTACAACTCCAATTAACTGCAATTTTCTCTCACTTTTACATTCATGATGTTAAGAAAGTTTCAGGATTATGCAAAGGCACTCCTCGACTAAAGGATTACTCCTTAAGCTTGTTAAAGATTTTAAAAGCTTTTTGTTTACATTTCCTTCCTATTCTATTTAAAAAATGTGATAATCTATCTTAGATTTTCAAGAATATCGTATTATGGACGAACCAAATCAAAATATCGCCTGAGGGAATTCAAAGAATTTGAACGCGATTTCTTTCAGTTGTTTATTCGTCAGTGACTTTCTTTGAATACCCGTTGGCTTTCTTCCATGTGTACAGACCCGACCTAAAGAAAAACAGTGAGCAGTTTGCTCTCCCAAAGGAGGAAGTACATTTGAGTCCTCATGACCTATGCAGGTTTGCAGCTGAGGAAACTCAAAGAGCGAGCTGGCTAAATACCAGTGGTTATACTTTATAAGCAAAAGAGAAAACGACGGATGTAGCAGGAGGTCATATCATCTCTTTTCGACCCTTTTCTGTTTCACTGATACGGGATAATCAGACGGGTGTCAGGTCACTTTGCTCTAAATATTATTTTAAAATTTGGGTTTCATTGGTCTTGAAAGGCTGCATTTATGTTGATCTGAAAACTAAATGTGCATTTGATTTAGTTTGAAAAATGGAGACACTGTATAAGTCAAATGCAAAAGAAGAAACTAGAAAACGGCTTACGTATATAGAACCCGGGGGGAACTCCCTTATATAAGCCATATAGGTATGTGCTGCACCAAAGGGTACGGTTTTTGCGCCGTTTTTGTCTGAAAACGGGTATAGATTTTGCCCATTTTGGCAATAGGATCAGGATTGGAGAACCGGGCGGCACACCCCTACCAAGAATTCCCAGAAGTATCCCCCGGATTTAGAGTTTGAAAACAGGAACTGTTTGATTATGGTGTAAAGCCACCCATACATCGCTTAATCCATGCAAGAACTTGCATTGCTCTGCTAAGTCCCTCCCCAGGGAAAACGAAATTGCAAGGGAACAGTTTCAGGATTTTCCGCTGTTTTCTCATACCCCTTCGATAAAGGGGGTTCACCGGCTTTTTAATGGGTTTCGAGCAGGTCTTGTTAGCTGAGCCTACGGAAAATCACATTTGTCACGTGCACTAACTTAAACTGCATCGCATCCCTGTTAGTTTGTCCAGTGAAGGCATTCATTAACCCTTTACGCTCCGATATCTACAATCAAATTCTTCAAACTGATATTCATACATTTCCTTAAAAAATCAGCTGAGAGAATTTGTTTGCAGATTAAAGCCGTTTCCTTTGAATGATCATTTTATTAATTTTCATAACCTTTACTCTTCATTATGTATTGATATTATAAGGGGAAAATAGATGTTGATCACCTTTGAGACTTACAGGGTTAAGCGGACACCCATTGGGACTCTTCTGGGACTCCTATGTCAAGCAATTTTAGCACTTTTACTTAACCGTAAAGAATCACAAAATTGACTGAAATCAGACTAAACTAATCATGTTAGCTCAAAAACTTGGTTTAAGTAATCTAAAACATTCAATATGTTTCTTACTCTGCATGAAAACTTCTACAAAGGATTCAAATAGAACTCATAATCTAGGATTCAATAGATTATAACGAGGGTGGGTCAAAAACGGATAATCATCGACTTTGATAGCTCCCATCTAAGTCTGAGAAAGGCTTAAATGGATTGCGACGATATGGACGTTACACAGGCTTTCTAGTTAGAAAAAGCCCTTTGTTTGAATCATGAATGAACTCTGAGTTCTCTATAAAAGTTTATTAAGTGAGGGAAGAAAATGAATATAAGCGTCTTGTGTAGATACAGTTCGTCAATACTGTACTAATATGTAAATTAACAACAGAAGGGAAAATTATACCACGTAAAGAAACTTAATAAAATTAAAGTGCAATAAAGCAAAAAAGCTAAAAACATTAACCCTAAAATTGAGCAACGATGTCTGGAATGGTTCTAGTAAAATTGAATTCGGGTTGGTCGTCCAAGAATTAACGCTCGTTAGAGGGTAGATCTACACTCCTGAAATAAACATTAGATTGTTAGGTAATAATCGTGTAACACCGATTTCACTACTCAGATTAACTCTTAATGCATATTTCCGGTAAACAGTGAGTCATGAAACATCTTTTTGGCCAAGCCCGGAGGCTCCATCGTGGATACAAAGAACTGTTTGGAAGTATGGTGTGTGTTAATCTTTTGTATTTTGCTGTATAAGTTGATTCTAGCCTGTAGTTGCGAGCAGTATAAAGTTTCTCTCATTGTGTTCTGTTTATAATGTTGTCAACCTGACGTTAGTTCATTATTTTTATACTTTTTGCGGATGAAGTTCCAAAGCCGACCGGGTGACCGTAAAAATGACCTTTAAACATTATTTTGCCGGCGGTGTCGGCGATTTACTTTAACAAAATGTTTTTTCAGGTGGATATTCACGGAAATGCTACAAATTTAGCTGAACTTTTCAATTTTCAGCCAATTATGGCGGCACGAAGAAGTTCTAAGACTGGAATCTGTGGACGAAATCTTACGACCGTAAATGGTACCTTTCCTCTAGGTCTTCGGTAATGATCTATTATTTTTTAACAATTGTTGTGTTAAAGCTTTTTTGGAATTGTAAGGGTTTAAACAAGAACAACCCCTTTGACTGGGTGGGCGAGGATCTTTCATAGACTTTAAGAACACATTTCTCTAAGTAGCGCCTTAAGAGCTTACCACGTTAAGTACTATGAAGCACATTAAAAAGTATCATGACACACAAAGTTTCTTTACATAATTTATTTTAAGAGCAATTTACAGCAAGGAAGAGGCTGAGTGCTGAAAGATTGTTGAGATGAAGAAGAAAATCTTGTCATTGAATGCCGAGAAGAAAAAGTAATCTAATTTGATGTATTAAAGAATGAAAAGATTGTATTCTGTATTTCCGTTGTAAATTAAGTAAATTTATGATTGAGCAATCACACAGATAGTTACAACAAACCCCCACCCAGAATATACGATAACTTTCGCAGTTAATTTTAGACAATTCCTATTTTACCTTTAATAAAATATACACTATATGTACACTGGATTCCACATTTAAAACGAACTTTAACTTCCAAATTTACTATTAATTGTATCAGGGAATGAAATTTAATTTATTTTCATTGTGCGAGTATACCAGAAGAAGCAAACGTATTGAGCGGACGAAGGAGCAACTAGATAATTTTTGTACAGAGGGTATGAAGTCAAAATATTATTCATCATCCTATCGTGTGGTCACATTGAAAGCGGTATTACTATTCTTTCCCAGGGTTTAAGGAGATACGTCTCGCAATTTAACTGATTTTCGCTTATTTCCCTGCTTGTGAAACGAAGTCTCCTATTGGAATTTATTTCAAGAGCCATGGTCAAATAAGAACATTTTTGCCCTTTCCTTAGCGTTCTTCTCCATTTTCATACGAGCGGTTATTTTGATTTTTCCGACCTTTCCTCATATAGCTTGTCAAGTTAACTTTTCTGAACATTATCAATGGAGTTTGGCTTGATAAAAGAAATAACAACCGTGGGCTTATTACGTGACCTAGCCCCCTTAATAAATGACATTGAATGACGGAATTATTTCAATGTAAACCCTTCCCTGCAGCGATTTTTCTCCGGGTTCTTTCACAATTCTTGTTACCTAACTTACATTGACATGCCTACACTGTTGAAAAAAGAAAAAGCTTAGTAAAATAGTGGAGGATGAAAGTAAACGTGTCTTTGCCTTTCATACTGACATGAAGGATAACGCAAATAGTTTTGATTTTGTTGCGCAGTTACTGAGGTCAGAGTGCTTACAGGGGGTGGAGGACAAACAGGGGTCCAGGGCATAAAGGCAGACGGAAACGTACTGATATTGTCTCTAGGCTCATAATATGGGCACGGCTGTAAGCACGGCACCTCGGCAGGATGGTAATGTCCCCCACAAGGCGTCTTGATGTCTTCCTCAAACTGCCCATCCTGTTTGATTTGTTGACGACTTTTGTATCGATGGTTCTGGAACCAAATCTTCACTTGTGAAGGGGTTAAGTTTATCATTCTTGCTAACTGGTCTCTCTCAACAGCGGAGAGGTACTTTTGGACGCGAAATCTACTCTCTAATTGATAAACCTGGGCCTTGGTGAATAAAATGCGCCTCTTTTTCTTGCCAGGCGTTTTTGTCTTGTCTACATCCTTGGTATTTGCTTCATGACGGACCCTTTCCTCAGACTTTGATCCTGAAGGAAATTGGAAATTATAAATGACTTTTTCACTCGTAGAGCCAGTAGTATTCTTTGCCCTTTAACTACAAATAATGCCTTAAATTATAGCGTTTAAAAAATTTCAATTTCATTTTGTAGAGGATATTCTTATTTATCCACATAGTTTATTTAGTTACTTTACAATATTATCTGTTATGACTGCTGTAACCTTTCCTCTCCGCCCGCCTTGTCCAGCTTTTGCTATTTGCGGGCAAAGATGGCAAAGTGATGTGTATGAAAATAAAGTATAGTGTGTGATATAGAAACCGTAAAAGAGGGAGAAAAAGAATGGTTACCCTACAGGAGTTCGTCTCGAGACTAAAAAGGTATAAAACCACTTTGTACAATGAATTTCATCAACAGTCTCTGGCCGTTAGGAACACTATACGCCAAAATAAACAGCACCACAGGAGAGTACTGCTTTATAGTAGCCTTCAGTTGAATAATCGGCACACGATAGGATTTTATCATTAGACTCGAAGGTCAGAATCTCTTTGCACAACATAATAAACAGTACCACAGGAAATGACTGGTCAGAAGCTTCTATTTTTCATTTTTCGCACGGATTTCCCGTCTCGTCCACAGATTCAGTAGCTAGAAGCTAGCACGAAAATATTTGTTCATTCAGTTCCTACACATTCCTCAAACAAAATGTATCAATCTTCTATAACCTCATTTTTTTTGCCTCATTTTAACATTAGAGATCTCTCTATTATCGGGATGTGAACTGAATTAAGGGTTTTGTTATTCAAACGCTATAAGTGAGCAAAATACGTGGTTCGAAGAATGGGGGAGAATATAATATAATGTTGCATTTTAACGCGCTTTATTCTTGACACCTTGCTCCCACTGAGAAAAGTACAGGCCCTCTCTAATGTGCTCTTCTTCTTTACTGACAGTTCATTTCCAAAGCCATGATCCACACGAAATGTACTTTTTAAAGCTTTTTGAGTCTGTAGACGAAATTCTGTGGTGTAGAATTTCAAATGAAACCTTTTTGGGCCATACCTTCCCATTTGTACTAAATTTTTTCTGAGTACTTCATAAAGTACTTTTTTTAATATTTGGATTTTCTCAAGTTTAGAACTTTTAAGCGCTACAAAATGCATTAGCGCCATTAGAATCTTCAGTTGAAAGAGAAGATACAAGGCACCATTTCAGTTACATTATTATTAGTAGTACTGTTTACTCGCTTTAAGAACCCATTGGAAGACTTGAATTTTCTCTTTTTCAGCACCACTTGGCCAAGACAGGAAAGTAATTGAGTTACACTCGCCTTAAGAAAAATGTGTGAACCTTTTAAGTTCTCCCACGCAAAGACAGCAGGGTATCGGCGGACAACTCGATGAAAAAAACACAGCGCCAGAATGAACACTTCGCATGCAACACAAAACAGTTAAAACCAGAGCCGAAGAAAGTTTTGTCTGACTATAGAACAAAGGTTTTTACCGAGTTAAACCTTTAGCGTTTTGGTATTCTTTTATTGTCCTTGTTTTTCTTGATTGGCGGTGAAAGAAGTAACAAAATAAGAGGAAATTCGTTCCGTGAGATACTTTATTTGAAATTTTAGATCGAGGGGATTACAATCTGTAGTGAAATACAGTTCTAAGTGTGGCAAAAGTTTTGTATCATCACAGTGCCGGGCTAAGCTGCCGTTTTGTTAAACAATATGGTTAAGTCTCGAGTAATTACATTCAGTGATTTCTAGGATCTCACAGGAGGTTCATCCTTTTAACTAGAGTGGGTAAAATCACACTATAGTATTGTAACTATTAGTTTTGAATGATCAGGCTGTGGAGGTGTGCCTGTCCTCAAAATCTTAGGACTAAAGTGGAATGAATTAAATTTATAGAAATAAAATGAGTGGAGTGTGTTACTAAATGCTATGAAACATCTAAAAAGAACTATACATAGAGAAAAAAAAAACTGTTTTCGGAATGCCATACTTTGATGTGTTAAAAGCTAGTACCACGTTAGTTCAACTCGTATATAAAGTTACACCCTTTTTATACTTCTATCAACAATTTTCAAATGAAGCTGACTAAAATAATTGTTGTTTTTTTGTGCGCTTAATGCGCCTCAAAAAGTTTTAATGATGCTGTTTCTACAGGTGTATTTTGTTCTTTTCCAAGTGGAGAAGCCTGAAATGGCAGAACTGATTCATTTGTCTGGTTATGACAAATTGCTAAATAATTTATTGTAGTTAGAGTCGAGCATTAAGTTTAGTTGCATCATACTAATGTTTAAACCAAATAAACATTCTACAATGATGAAGTTTCTTTGATTTATATATTTAGAAAAAGGTAGAATAAGATAACAGCCTTACATGAAACTTACTTAGATTAGGGGAAAGAAAAATATAATTTCGGAATCAAAGGCCTCAGTCTTCGACTCAAACTTCTCGCGAGTTGTTGTCACCCATATTTCGCACGAAATAGAATGCAGAACTTTTCTCAAATATTTTGCGGGAGTTTTAATGGTAGATATGTATTTTCCGGGTGGTAAATAACAGCTGATAATAGACCGGTAGTGGGTTAATGGCAAAACGATGTCTGCACTGGAACAATTAGCTCTTAAGGTCAGACTGGAGTAACGACCACAATGAGATTTTTATGACCGGAAAAACAGATAATATGGTGTAGTAATTTGTCCTAAAAAGCTGAAAAGGAAGAAATAATAAAGTAACTCAATGGCTTAAACAGAAAGCAGTAATTTCTTATGACCGGAATAGCAAAATTGTTGGCAAAATCTGATCAGTAGCTTTGTTTATTTGCGTAGCGAAAACTTCAAGTTTCGATCATCGAGTAACGTCTCTAAAAGAAGAAAAAACTGAAAAAAAAAAAGACTATCAGAATAAAAATTAACGTTAAAATTGCTGACTTACAATGTAAAGAACTGCAAAGAAACTCTCGCTTTCCAAGAAGGTTGAAATACTGCGCGTTAGTTTCGTTTTCATAAGTATTTTAGGCAGATCCACCTGGATAATAGAGCGTGCACGACATGAAAAGAATCTAGATAGGATATCATCCAAAAAGGGATCCATAAGTAGGTGTTTCCTTGTTCACGTAGCATAGTAATTTAAAAAATAAAGGTACGACAGGATTTGACGATACTGTCTTCTAAATCCAGTTCTATCATGTACACTGTACTACTGTCATACTTTATCATAACAGTTCATATACGAATTAAAAGTGATGAACTCGTACACGGTAAAAATATATGTACCACGGACTACCTCTGCTTGATTTTTTTTTGTTATTTTGCGATGATTTTACGCTTTAGGATTCCATTTATTACCTCATATGATAGGCTAGCCACGTTGTCCAGTAAAGAAAGTAAAGAAATCGTATGAAATCCATACAGTTCATGTCATCGAAGGGATTATTCTGTGAGATTATCAATTGTGTGAGAGCAACATACTGTCAGCAAGATTCTGCGATGCATGGGCACTTTGTTTTACTCGGCCTGTTTGCCTCTTTCATTGCGAACTAAGCATTAAGTGTATGGCAAAAGCAAGTTTTATAACGTAGCCTGGCTACAGGAAAGTTTGTTATCTTAATGCCCTTAAGTCAACCCATAGAAGTCTGAAGTCACTCATTGACAATTGCAAGACTCAGCTGACAAGGAAAAGATGAACTTGGAATGTTGCAGAGCTGAGAAAGTAAAAGATAAGGTCTTTTATTTGGCAACTTTATTTTATCTGTCGACTTATGATTCCGGTAAAAACTGACTTAAATTTTGTTTGCCCTTTCTTATTTGAGGCGAAGATTCTTAATATTACTTATTGTTTTTTAGATCCACGAGCTAAAACCAACACATTTTTCCTTGAACATTAGATAAGATATTAATTTTCGATCAGTATCAGTAAAGAGGGCGTTGGGCGGATAGCAAGGTGACAAGACGTGAAAGTAGAAAAAAAGATCTGATTAAAATTTAGAAGAACGTTTGCGTGTTCTCAATGTATAAAGTTGGGAGCCAAGAGTACCTCAACAACACAACTCCGCCCACTGTTAAAAAATTTACACCTTGCAATCTGCTGAGGACTTAATCTCAGGGGTCAGAAACCCATCTTGAGACAAAATGGCGCCTTGACTGTCAGACAGGCCAGCAGGAATGACTCGCTGTTTCGACGAAATTTCTATCCAATTTTATAATAATGATATGCCAATCAAGAAGAGGAAGAACTCGCAGTCCTCTTTGTGGTGAGGCTAAATGGAAAAATTACAGGAAGACCTTTGCAGAACATGTCATTTCCATACCACCCTGTGCTCTCCTTGCATACTCCAAATTGTCAGAGATTTTAGACAGTCTGTTAAGAGGTTCAAGTATTTCATTCTATAATCTTACTTTTATAATTCAGCAATGCCTCGTATCAATTGATGATAGTCTTGATTTCGTTTTAAATCCCACGTAATAAAGGATTTGGGGGAGGTTTTTGTATTTGCAAACTGTACCAACTCAATTCCCTTAAAACAATGCGTGAGAATTGGGATGTTTTAGATAAGATTCTTAAAAAGTAATTTCGCGTTTTTCCTGTCTTCTTGTAGGGATTAATTTGCAATAATCCCCACCACATAATGCACTCAATAGCGATAAACGCAAAGTCCTTCACGTTTTCTTCTACTTGTCACGATTATCAAGGCATTTTACTCCCAAGAGTGGTCAAAATTAGCATTAATGAAAAAATAACCAAGAAGTTTCGTTTTCTTAACTACTGGCGTTAAAACGCGAACAGTACCAGAAGAAACCAGATTTTATTCGGTGGCCAAAATCTGGTATGACATGTCAGTATCAAGACGTCAGAACGACATTACTGCACTTAGAAATATTAAAATTTCCTCTGGTAAAAAAGCCACGGTTCGTAACAAATCCGGGAAAGTCTACAGACTCATTGACCATTCAAACACTGTTTCACGTAGAGATACGAATTGTGATTTTTTGAACAACGTATATATATATCTATATATTCAATTCTCCTGAATCGGCCAGCTTGTCGAAAACACCGCCATCATGTCGAGAAGATGAAATACGTCAGTCTTTTTGAGAGACAAGAGGAATATAACAAAAACCAATAAAACTGTTTTTAGTATCTGCTCTGTTAAACAAAAGAACCGCACAATTTTGGCAAAAATGTTCAAAGTCAATACTGTCGAAACGTCGGTCTACAAACTCCGCAAACTGAAACGGTTGCATCAATAAACATGCGTATTTCTCAGTTGAGCGTGTGACATGGCAATTGTTTCCTTTGAAGCCAATGGTCTTTCGCGATAACTTAAAGCTGCCTTTCGAACACTGACCTATAATGATTATTTATCAGGTAGAATCGGACGTAGCCATCTTCAGATGATCTGGTTAAAAAAGTTATCCAATTTAACTAAAGTCAATGCCTTTTTAATTGGATTCTACCTCACTGGAAAGAAACAATACTTTCCCACTAACACTCACTCATTTTCAACAGTGTTGAACCCTTTTGTAAGGGAAATTTGTTCTGGATATTGAGATTTCTAATAGTTTTCCACGGTATTAAAAGGAGAGCTCGATTATCGGGGAAACTTTGTCATTTGATTCAATAAGTTCCAGACGAGTCATGAAAATGTTGCCAGGACTTTCTCGTCAGAGAACGAAAATAATAAATAAATCTCGACACTAACAACTGCTGAATTTATTTTAAAAACACTAAGACGGCGGGCTTTACTACACGAACTACTATCACTGAGTCAGTCTATGGACTAATTCCGGGGCTCATTGTTATTTTAAGTTAAGCCAACATTGATCAGCTGGGTTTTGATAAAGCTTTCCTTTTCTACTCAGTCTTTTTTTGCCTGCTATGATCATAACAACCCTTCTTACTAACAGAAATAACAATAAACAATCTTCTTAAACATAAAAAGCAAAAAAAGGCTGACCTGTGTTCTTCTCCATGCTGATCAGGCTATTATTGTTATTGGGGCTGTTGTCGCCTCTAATATTGCTTCCATCTTCCGTTGTCACTGCTTTCTTGAAAGAAATCGTTTCAAAAGTGCTGCAAGTTTCACGATTCCTTTGAAATCTATCGTCTTCGTTGCCAGAATTAAGGATTCCATCGATAGAGAAACTAATGTTCTGTTTTGGGTTGATCTGAGCCATACCGCTCTTGAGACGCACGAGCTTGCTCGCAAGCTTAAACGAATCTGGTTAGCTTTTTAATGTGGATTTACGCGTGTGGCTATAGACCGGATATAAGGGCGGGACCTAATCGAGTGGACACGGCGCTAACACTACACAGACAGCTCTGTGATTGGTCACAAGGCAAGGTGCTGATCCGTAAGAGTTTAAAAATAATTTAGATAAGTGCAATACTTTACAAGACAAACAAAAACAAAATTGATTTCCTGCGACGGAAATGCCAGAGTAGCGCATGAGTGTTGATTGTTGTAGAAGACAGCAGATTATGAAGAAGGGAACATTAGCTTTGGCCAAAAGGTCAACGTTCGTCTCAAGAACCTGGATTTTATTAATACGCTGGCACGAAAAGCATCTACTCTTTCCAGCGAATCTTTGAGTAGCAGGAAGAAAATAGCAGTTTATCGGCGTAACATTACATGATGTTAAGTATTAACGAATAAAGAGGCCTTTCTAATCTCAGAATTCACTTCCTTTTCTAGGGGTAAGCTGTCAGACTTGACAAACAAACGATGACTGTTTAATGGGCTTGAACACTAACTCAAGGAGTGTTCATTGTTCTTGCTATGACCCAAAACAGACTGATAACATGAGGGATTAGCGCAGTCAGCAGGAAAAAACGGAAGACAGAGTGGAATCGACTGTGTCAGTTCTGCTTTCTGCAAATAAGACTTACCAGAGACTTCATCAATTGATAGATATGTTTACAGAACACATTTACAGTTCGGGATGTCTTCTGGACGCGTTCGGCCAAAATACAACTCTGGTGAGTATTAATTCACGATACTTATACCTACAATTTCCCCCGCAATTTCCTCATCTTGTTTGTTTGACTGGACTAGAGAATACTAAAATGGAGTACTGCAAAATAGCTTTCATTTGACGAAAGATTACGCCTCTATATTCTTAACAGCTTAATATTAATAGTATTGAATGAACACTCTTAATTAAAAGAATTTCAACTACCGGTCGCTAATTTAGAACACACTTGTATGGAATGGTATAATTCAATAAATACTATTCACACCGTATTCAACGTAAGGAAAGGGAAAGGGTTATTCAGTGGGTGTTCATCCAGTATCGAGCCAAAGGCATCGCGTAATTTCAATATGTCTCAATTGCACAACATGCAGCAGAAGTATGGTACTGCGGCCCGAGCGACTGCGAAGGAGACTATTATGCCGGGTCCTTGACCTGGTTTAGGTTAATGCAAGCGGAATGGGAGTCCCCCCGGGTGCTAAGGTGTAACAGAGGCGTTTTGAAAGTCTCAGAAGCAGTACCCTAGTTAATTGTCGGTGAAGCGCCCCCCTCCTCTGAGGGGGCGCGGGGGTTGAAGTTGACATTCAACACGGAAGCCCCATTCCTTTATTTTCCACCGTGTAACCTGGGAAAAGCCTGAAAAGCGGTGAGCCTTGCGCTTTATTCTGTCCGAAATTTTTACCAGTCTTTACCTAACCTTAATAATGGTTGCTGGATCTTTTATTTCTTTTCGCATTGTGAATGCCCGGGGGGTCCCGGGTGTGAATGATAAAACTGATTGATAGAAATATGCAACCTTTCCAAGCTACCAGGGTAAAAGCTAAAAAGTATACGTCAGTTTCCGAAGCCCGGGTGCCCGGGTTCCGAAGGAGCCCCTACCATTTCCCACCCGAAAAGACTACTACAGTTTTCCCTGCGGTTTTTTATCGTTCTGCGCCGTGTTACGACTCAGGTGGCCCTAAAAGAACTCAGTGTTGTGTTACTATCTGCTAGTATTAACAAGAGGCCTTTTGCCCTTTTCAAAGGGATGGTGAATTGAAAAGAGAGGGTCAACACTAATAAGCATGTAGTGAATTAAACTAAAACTCTATCCCGGAAAAGGCACTCATCTTAGTAGAGCAATATGGCTCCGGGCCAGCGCGCGTCGCTGCCCGCGTGGGTAAAAACGTGGATTCCTAACAAACATACACGCGAGAATAGGCAATGGGAAATGTGCGAAAGGAGAAAAGTTACAGACTCTTCACGTTTGACAAAAGCGAAGGAAGCTTTAGTCGGCCGGCGAATAACGTAATCCAGGTCGTCAGGGGTCGTGATATGACGCAGATTTGATGGCCTAACGAGCGCTACATACTATCATCCTGCTGGCATCGTTCTGACATCGGCAAATCGCCACGACGTTTTACTATAAAAATTATCAAACAATTATAATGATTCCATACAGTAGAGATATATTTGTTAAGGGCTTTCATTTGAAGGAACACGTTCCTTTGTTTTTGTTTCACAAACCAGAAGTGAGGACTACGTCACATTTTAATCTGATTTCGCACCAGTCGCACGTCCCGTAACATCATTGTGTCCAAACATGTTAACTTTCAGGCTCACCAGATGACAATTTTACAGGATTAATCCCATTTTCTCTCTTTTTACTTAGCATCACGTCTAGGCATCTACAAAATGATTAAAACATTTTATTTTAGTGAGGCTCTCCCTACGAAACGTTGAAAGTCCGCCGGAGGGGCGGGGAGGGGGGGTGAGGAAGAACCCCTTGAGTGAAAGGGGTCAATAACCGATCAGTAAAATTAAGAGTATTTCGATCACAAGACTGTCTGAAAATTTGGGATCAATTTAGGTTTTTGGGAAACTGCCCATCTACCCCTCCCCTATGCTAACATTAACACTTACTTCTTACTTAGAGCAAAATGAGGGCTTAGGGGAGGGGTAGGTGGGCAGTTTTCCAGAAACCTAATTTGTACGTTCAAAAAGGCAAATCACCATTTTCACATTGCCCATAATACACCATGTTCATGCAAAATGTTTGGTGGAAATGGTGAATGCTAAAGGCTTGGCAAAACGGTTAGCATGACTTTTGAACTAAATCAGTGTAGTGTAGCATATATAAGTAGCCTGTTCAGGGCTCTCAGATAGTAGGGTAAGGTAGGTAACTGAAAGGCACGCGAAAATATAAGCGCATGATTTCCTCCCGTTTTAGTTTCGTGTTCGCGCTTTCTCAATTTCGCGAACCCGACCATCTCGGAGCCTGGAACAGGCTATATATAATGTAGTGATATCAGATATACCATTTTCTTTTACAATTCCGTGATTAACGCAAACAGTCAGAGTTTCAATTCCCTGATACACTGAGCACTTGGGATTGGTCTTGCAAAGTACAAGTAGCGTTAAACAAAGGAACGTAGATCATCACATTTAAGCCCGTAAGCCGCTCCATTACTGTATCAAAACTGGTACAATGTTATATACAATAACAAGGCTAGTCAATCTGCCACTGAATTCACTCAAGCGAAGTACCTTCAGTTCCATTTTACAACTAAAACGCAAGTATATTGTTGGCATGGGCATCATGTGTTTGCTTTATTGAAATATTTGAATGAATCTTACAGCTTTGTTTCTGGCGTGAACGAAAACGACAAGAAACAAACCCGGATCATGGGAGAGGCCACCTCGAATGCCAATATGTTTACTGTACAAATGTGTGCTGAGAGAAATGCTATCACAGAAGACTTCGAGCTTAGCTATCTAAGAGCAAAAAAGAACAATTTCAAATGTTTACGTTGGCTCTCCAGGCGACTTCAAGTTAAGCTAAATTGTATGTTTAAGAGGGTTTCAACGTGCCAAGGATTATAAATTTAAAGAATTCACAAACAACAGTGCCTTCACTGAGTCTGATCTTTAAGCAGGAAAAGCTAAAATTAGTCATGAAATAACTGGGTTGATCAATAATATGAACTGTATTGTGAAGTGGAAGTAAAAATGCATGCAACTATGAAACTGCGCGTTAATTACTGCAGTATTCATGTATTGAAACCTTAATCAATCCAAAAATTTGGATGGCGGGAATGAAATGTTGTCAGTTCATTGAAACTTGTGCCGAAACTGCGGGCGAAATCTTATTGTGTGACCATTCAGAAGGAAACCCTTTCTCTATCTCTATCTTTTAGAAAAACGGAGTAGATTATTAGAGACTCTAGTAACAATTGGAACATTTCTGGGAGAATGTTTGTTATTCACGAAAATTGAACATTCTCAGGACATTCAATTGTCCCAGTTAGTTAAGCCGAAATAACATTTCATACATATACACTACTTACAGAATGTAATCCATTCAAACACGACCATGTAAACACTACAATTCACGGGTACACAAACAGTTACGCTCTTTGGTGAACTGGTACAAGGCGGGAGAAAGTAAGAAAGACCCTGCAATTTTGAAAGGGTTGGAGAAGAAGAATCCTTTCCGAACTTCAGAACGCAGTACAGTTCCTCGTTTGCATAGCAGTAACATCGCTAGGCACAAGGAGAAGCTAATGGGTGAGTTAGTTACTTATACAGCGCAAAATGGTAGGTAACTGAAAGGCACGCGAAAATATAAGCGCATGATTTCCTCCCGTTTTAGTTTCGTGTTCGCGCTTTCTCAATTTCGCGAACCCGACCATCTCGGAGCCTGGAACAGGCTACATATAATGTAGTGATATCAGATATACCATTTTCTTTCACAATTCGGTGATTAACGCAAACAGTCAGAGTTTCAATTCCCTGCATGATACACTGAGCACTTGGGATTGGTCTTGCAAAGTATAAGTAGCGTTAAACAAAGGAACGTAGATCATCATATTTAAGCCTGTAAGCCGCTCCATTACTGTATCAAAACTGGTACAATTTTATTTACAATAACAAGGCTAGTCAATCTGCCACTGAATTCACTGAAGCGAAGTACCTTCAGTTCCATTTTACAACTAAAACGCAAGTATATTGTTGGATTTTAAATACTTCATGGGCATCATGTGTTTGCTTTATTGAAATATTTGAATGAATCTTACAGCTTTGTTTCTGGCGTGAACGAAAACGACAAGAAACAAACCCGGCTCATGGGAGGGGCCACCTCGAATGCCAATATGTTTACTGTACAAATGTGTGCTGAGAGAAATGCTATCACAGAAGACTTTGAGCTTAGCTATCTAAGAGCAAAAAAGAACAATTTCAAATGTTTACGTTGGCTCTCCAGGCGACGTAAAGTTAAGCTAAATTGTATGTTTAAGAGGGTATCAACGTGCCAAGGATTATAATTTTAAAGAATTCACAAACAACAGTGCCTTCACTGAGTCTGATCTTTAAGCAGGAAAAGCTAAAATTAGTCATGAAATAACTGGGTTGATTAATAACATGAACTGTATTGTGAAATGGAAGTAAAAATGCATGCAACTATGAAACTGCGCGATAATTACTGCAGTATTCATGTATTGAAACCTTAATCAATCCAAAAATTTGGATGGCGGGAATGAAATGTTGTCAGTTCATTGAAACTTGTACCGAAACTGCGGGAGAAATCTTATTGTGTGACCATTCAGAAGGAAACCCTTTTTTTTTATCTCAAAAACGGAGTAGATTATTAGAGACTCTAGTAACAATTGGAACATTTCAGGGAGAATGTTTGTTATTCACGAAAATTGAACATTCTCAGGACATTCAATTGCCCCAGTTAGTTAAGCCGAAATAACATTTCATACATACACTACTTACAGAATGTAATACATTCAAACACGGCCATGTAAACACTACAATTCACGGGTACACAAACAGTTACGCTCTTTGGTGAACTGGTACAAGGCGCGAGAAAGTAAGAAGGACCCTGCAATCTTGAAAGGGTTGGAGAAGAAGAATCCTTTCCGAACTTCAGAACGCAGTACAGTTCCTCGTTTGCATAGCAGTAACATCGCTAGGCACAAGGAGAAGCTAATGGGTGAGTTAGTTACTTATACAGCGCAAAAATTCACGGCATATATATGATCTATTGCGCTTCACAGCGTCGAAGCAATCTGAAGTTGCAGTAAGCGAACGCCGTCATTCGGAACCTATTTAGNTTGAAAGGGTTGGAGAAGAAGAATCCTTTCCGAACTTCAGAACGCAGTACAGTTCCTCGTTTGCATAGCAGTAACATCGCTAGGCACAAGGAGAAGCTAATGGGTGAGTTAGTTACTTATACAGCGCAAAAATTCACGGCATATATATGATCTATTGCGCTTCACAGCGTCGAAGCAATCTGAAGTTGCAGTAAGCGAACGCCGTCATTCGGAACCTATTTAGTTCCATTCAAGTAAGATATCCTGCTCTCTAGATTCTTTTAAGCTGATCAAAACGTCCTCCACTGTAAGGCACCTATATTAAAGACTGTGCGGGGGATATTCGCAACATGTATTCTAAGATCCAGTCATTCTCGAACTTAAAGAAAGAGGCGTTATATATTCAATGACTCCACTGAACCAAGCCTCGTCTCGACTCTTCGATGGCCAATTTAAAAAGCTCGTTTCATTATCTGTTTAACCCAATAGTTCCCGGTGCTAATAAGTTCTGTTGAAACCGGACGAAATCAGTGTTTCAAAGTCTTGCAGCAAAATCTTTTAGTTACTCTTTTTCGATTTTTGTCGTTAGGCCATTAAATATTTCGGAAAACTGACTATGGAATTCCACGAATCTTGGGATCCTCACAATGATGAACTATTTCGACAGTAGTGTCTGAGACAGCAACATTCGTTTATTGCCGTCTGTTCCCTTTCAATTACGTCGCATTTTACATTGTCTTACCTTAGTGTACGACTCCACCATAATTTCACATATGTTGCTCCGAGAGTAGTTTGACAAGACGAGGAAGGCCACTGAAGTCAGCATTTATAAAATACTTTCACCAGCAGTCCAGTGTTTCCCTGGTAGACCGGCTGATATAGCAGTGGGGGCAGTTACAGAGGAATTCTGCAATGGGTACTCGAGGCACAAGTGTAAATGAAAGCTTGACGTCAGTAGTTTATCGGTGACGAATTATACTCGAAAGCAAACATGAACACCATCGCTTAAATCTACTCGAGAATTTTCACAAAAAAAATTCCGGACTACTTTTTAAACAAGGTTGTATTATTCCTTAAGTTTCGAGAAACAGGTATATCAAGTTTTTCAAGAAGAATTGCAATGGCTACACTTAAACGTCTTTACAAATGGGATGACATACTTGAGGTCTTGGAGGCCGGACAACGGGGCATAGGAAGCCGCCCATGTTTTGGAAGTTTCTGAGAAGAAAATAATAGTTTTCCATTTTAAGACTCAGATATTAATATGTTATTTGTTGCAATGATAGAAAGGGGCATGTACGCTGGTGCCTCTATCGTGATTCACGTAGAAACAAAGCTTCTTTCTCGATGCATATACTGCCGATTAGAGTCATAGTGCCCTAAGGTATAATGTACAAACGTGGTAGTTTTAACTTGAAAACCCTTTTCACGGGCTTGATGGTGACGATTCGGTTCGATTCTATTAATTGAGGCTGAACCCCGGTAACTCGAACTCTGAAGGGCCGGGAAACGAAACAGCTCGAGTTATCGGGGTAAATTTCTGCGAAGTTTTGATCAAAGGAAAGGAAATTTAGTTGTAGTTAGAGGGGGATTCAAGTTATCTGAGGTTCTACTGTATTACAGCATAATAAGAGCTAGCATAGCTTAACGATTTGAATTGAGAGGGAAGGGGGGGGGGGGCTTGGTGGCAAATGACGCAAAGGGAAAGGCAGCCCATAAATCGGCTGTGTTGAAACGTTTAGTTCCGTCATTGAACGAGGAATTACAAATACGAAAGCGCATTTCGCAATAATCGCATGGTTTAAACGTATTATAAAATTCATGGTGAATTAAAATAGTTTGATATCGCATTACAATCTAATCTCTCTCTGTTGTGTGGCTTCGAGTGCGGATTAAGATATGCACTTCATTATACAGTCAGTCGAAAAATAAATCAGATTTGCAATTTATCCCTATTTCTTCACTCAAGAAGCTCTTCAAAAGAAAACACCCCCTCACGAAAAGGTGTTCGCCGAAATCTGTGTGTTGAAAACGCGCAAATGAGATATCTTACTCAAGATGAATGTGCAACTGTCACAAAGGTAAGATGTTTTTGGAAGATGACAAATTCATAAAGTTCATTACTCAAGCTTATTCGTGCTAGGAAGTTTATTCTAGACAGAATGGAATGGTGTTTGCTTAAAGAGGACAGGCTGCCGGATGTGGCTTTTAAGGTCTCTTCATACCATAGGCAACACAAGGGCTTAATGATACCTTTTAACTCAGAGATATAACTTACGAGTGGGTGACTGCTGTCAAGCGAAAGCCAAATAGTTTGATGTTTGGTTTACGTCAAACAACTTTATTTTATCTATTTTAAGAGATTTTATCTTACTCTCCGACTTATACAGTTCAAAGGAGGCTCAGAAATTTATAATTCGAGAGTAAGAGGAACAAAGCCCATTATTTTTCTTGCACAGTTTTGGCAATTCGTTAAGTCTTTCCTATTCTAACGAGATCAAGTGTTTAATATCACACACAAAAAAACGGAAATTGCGATCTTGAGGTAACAACGAGTATTGCACCCATGTTAAGGGCTTAAACCAGCTATACTTTCAGCTTGAAAACGTGGCCAGAAAATAAACTTCAGTTATATCTCAAATCAGTTTTATTCCATGTGTGAAACCCTCCTGAACGACTTACCGAGTACTATGTGATAGAACTGCTGAAGAGGTTTGATTTTAATGGAAACATCACAGGATTTGGTTTCATGCTGACTCAAACGTTTTAGGAATGAAAGGTTAACCTTAGATTAAAATCGATTCAACTTTCATCTTAAACACAAAAAACAAACAGTACAAGTAAAGCGAGAAACGGATGAATAGCCTTCAAGTTGATGGTTGACAAAGCGTACATTTCGTACTTATTGTGCTTCAGAAAAACACGGGCTACTTTAGGGAAGACTCAAGAATTCCTGTTTTCGGTGCCTCACACTTAACAACTTCATCCAAGTATTTGCAATCAAAGAAACATTTCAATGGCTACAAGTTCTGCTTCTATTTCAAATTTTGTTTACATTTTAGGCAAAAGCTTTATTTCTCAAAGATAACAGAAGGAAATGGCATCCAACTTTCAAGTGTTGGTATTGAATACAAACAAAGGCATTTAAACCAACCAAAACACAATTTATCAAGAGGCCCGTCTGCCCAAGAATTTAAACCCTTTCAAGGACATGAGAATTACTTTGCAAACTAAGAAAAAAATTCACTAATTGAACGCGAGAATTCGATAAATAAGGAGTAAAGTAATTATGATGAAACAAAGTAAACACAGCGGCAATAGATATTAATCTTTTAGGCGGTATAATTCACGAACATGTTCGTACCTTTCGTAAGGGACCCCCCAACCCGTCCTCCGGGGGAATACACAAAAACACACTTTTTTCAAGTACCCACGCCGGAATTCGGGCTATTGAACCCATAAAGACCCAAGAGTGACTAACGTCAATTTTCTCCCGACGACTTTGAATACGTCATCAAGAGAAAAGGTTATGAGAATTAGTAAATTGATCACCAAAGGGAAAATATTTTCAAAATTCTTTCGACTAGTCGTTTTAGGAAACGTATGGAGATGAGTCAGGAAAAAGGAGTTGTTCAGTTACACTTTAACAACTGCAGTCTTAACTTCTTTTATCCTCCATGTTCCTTTTAATAATAATTGTTAAGTCAATTATAGACGTCAGCGGGGTCTCGCTTTGGGTGAGTTCTGTTAGCTGAGGTACCAAATAATGACAATACCATTTTGGTATGAATTTTGGCCACAGGAGTGGCCGTCTATTTAATTTTTAAGTATATAGAGCTACTAAGGAAAATCCAGATACACCGAGGAGATTATCCCATCAAAGGTGAAGGCACACTAGGGCTTTCTACAAGTATAGTCTGAGATATCGCAGCAGCTTTTAGTGCTGAAATTGGCCTTTCTTCCATATTTCACAATGTTTTAGTGGACAATTTATGAATTTCTTGTGAAAAAAGGAGCCAAATCCCCCCCTGGCGCAGATCATGGGCGCAAGATAACAGTAGCCGGGCTGCTAGGTCAGCAGTTTTTAGAGAAAATTCAAAATGGTGGACGAAGACTCACATTCGACTGACTGGAGTGTCTCAGGTGTAGAGGGTCATTCAACAATTTTATTAGCTTATTACATATTTCGGTTTTAATTGAGGACAAAGTTATTTAGTAACGCTGGTTACGCCGCAAAATTGCACAAAAATGCTTAGAAATCTTACTAATTTGTTGTACAATTTGTATATTTTAGCATCAGACTAAAAAACGTTTTTGTTTTTTCGAGCAACTTTTGATTTTTTTTGAGCAACGTTTGAGCAACTTTTTGAGAAATTACAGGAAACATTTTGGAAAATCTCGAGCAACTTGTGGAGAGCCCAAGGGCACACCCACGCCCGCCATCCGGGACAGTAAAGTGGAGAAAAGGAAAAGGGAAGGGAAGGGGGGGAAAAATGTTTCATTATTTCCGTGCTGCAGTGAGCAGAGGGACTTCGTGCCTCGATTTCATGTCTTGAGAACACACATATAATGTCCCGGATAGCAGGAACGCCCCCTTTCTGGCAGCTGGAGAAATTACACATTGATCAGTCACACCAAGCATAAAACCATTTATTTCTTTCAGAAAAAAATTTCCTTTTGTTATTCTTATTCTGAAACTTAACCTAACTTTTCAAACCACCGATGAGTTCCCTAGTTTGAGACGAAGTATTTCTATGACTTAAAACAGACTAAACAACCTTAGTTCAACAAAACCTGCTGAAAATAACCTGGGTCTGGCACCTTTGTTTTGTACGTTGCCTAGCTGGTTAAGGTAAAAACGTATTCGTAAAACCATATATTATACAGGAGCACCCAACGGCAATTTTCCGAAGAATATCTGTTCGGAAGACGATTTGAGATCTAGAATTTTCGAAACATTTGTGGTAAAATTTCCTGCTTGCCTGCCTCTCCTAGGATTTTCGAACATCTAAAAAATGGTGTAATTGCTTATTTTAAACGGATTTTTACCCTGAAAAGGTCACCTAGAATTTTCGAGAGCCTTTTTTCTGGCTGAAATTTTCGAAAAGGTAAGTTTTGATCCCTATAATTTTCGGATCACTAGACTTTCAGCTAGGAAATCCGAACAGATGAAAAAATTTTAGGGGATAAAAATATGCCCATATCTACCGTTTAAATACTAAAATACGTTTAACAATACTATGTTTAAGTGGTTTTGAACAAAATTCTCGTTGGGTGCCCCTGATTATATCACGACGTATCGGAAGGGATTACCTGCTAAGACATAATGCTGCTAGGAGAATTTCAGTTATCACTGACTAGTTTGAATGTTAGAGCCACCTATCTAGTTCTAAAAATACATACAACAACAACAAATTTGGTCACATTTTAATGAGATTTCACTGGTTCACGGGTTCGAACCACCCAAATAGAACAATGAACAATGAGTAGAAAAAGGATATTTTTTTCAAGCGCAAACCTGATTGGATTAATTATAGGCGTAACTGTAGTATGTGAAACCCGTCGAAAAATCGACGGGTTTTAAAAATAACTTAAACCTTTTACTTTCCGGCAAAAGTACCTAAAAATGAACAGAAATCAGTCACAAATTTCACTTTGTAAAATATTAAAGATAAAATGGTATTATGCGAACTGAGAAGGAGTTTCATTTCAATGGCCTCGTAATAGCAATTTGTTAGCAATTGTGCACGGCCAGGTGAATCAAAAGTTGGAACTGGAAACAAAATAAAATTAACGAGGACTAGTCAGACAGCAAAAGAGCTTTCACTACTTTAAATGGTCACTCATAGCATTTCATCCACAGACTCGTGTAGCACCGATGCAGGCCACTAAAATGTTTCCGAGAGCGGAGAAGAAGTAAACCTTTCTTCATTATCCTGAGTGAAGGTGTTAAAGGAGATAACTGCACTTGCAAGGGAAGAAATGTCCGTAACAACGTCTAAGTTTCACACAAGCAGCAATTTTGAGCTCTGAAAGCTCGTTTTAACCTTGCTTTAATCCAAGCTTTCTATGTGTGGGGTATAAGCTGGACGAGCGCCTTCAAGACACAATGAAACACTTGATGAAACACAACGAAAACTAAGTAGCTGGCGCAAAGCCAGTGAGTATACAACGAGTTTGACCCTTCCTAAACCCTCAAACCAGTTTTAAAGGTCTACTTTGTTACAAACTCTCGAAGAAATGGCATTGTCACAAAGTTTTCTTTGAATATATATAATTTTCAAATACTTTTCACTAATTTCTTCAATCTTTGAAACACAATATACTCTTTTCCACGTCTTGGCTAACACCTTACACTATTCTAAAGCAAACAGGATTTCCTTTGATGAAATTAACAAATCAGTTAAAGAAAACAGAGAAGTTTTCAGTTTTGCGTGTATGTTTGAACAGACTTCAATCAGACCTACAAAGCTGGGCAAACGATAGCAATGACTTGAATAAAGGGTTTTTTTGATTCCTTGAAGGACTATTCATTGTTCCCTATAGAGGTTCAGTGTATAACTTTAAAGTTTTCTAGATAGTAATCCTCACTTTTTAAGAGCCGATTCTTATATCGCGTTTCTGTTAATGGCATACTTTCGTCAGGATTGGCGGAAGGGTAGCGTTTACCATACCATGTAACAGATATTCATGTGTCCAGTCAATTACCAAGTATCACTCTTCTAACTTCTCCTAATCCAATAAAAGTAATCTTATCAGTTATGTTACTTAGGAACGTATTTAACTCGCTTTTTGCTTGCCATTGAATACATTCGAACCCAGCTTTATACGGACACTTTTCTTTGTCCCTGCTGCGGAAGGAACGCCCATACATTTTCTCCAAATTTAACCCGCTTAATACAGACAATCGATACTTGTTTTTTTGCCGAGTCAACACTGAGATTCTCACAGAATGCCAACCTCGCTAATGTGGATCCTTCGTTATTAACTGTGTACTGTAACAGACCTATCCTTTTGGACACAATTTCGATGTTCCAAGCGCTATACAGTACACCGCAGTTTCAGACTATTTTGTCGTCACATGAGTTATGCAGAAAACGGTTTAGATTAAGTAATATAAAGATGAGCGATTTTTGAGTGTTTCTGTGAATTTAGTCCGAGAAACAACGGCTTTGTTAAGGTTAGAAATGTTTAATTTGAAGAGGCTAATGTCCTCTTGTATTTCTTTAGTACTTTGTACTAATAAAAGGTGTCTTTTTGTCTTTCATAACATGACCTTCTTAATACTCACACCCTGTTTATACGGACTCTTTCTATCGCCTTTTCAGTGTCTGTGTGTTAACATGGTATGACTGTACTTTTGTCCTGCGCGGAGGTTAGTCTTGTTTTGTACCTCGAGTAAACGGCTGTACGCGTTGCCATGAATAGTACTGACCCTCATATTCTTAACATTCAAGTCTGAGATCGAAACTTTGAGGTGTGATAATTCTTGTGAACGGGCTGAGTGTCTAATATTGGTAATGACGCACAATGTGCAATATGAAATATTTGATTATCAGAGTAAGAGCGGATGGTTGCTGATGACGCGGATTAATCGAGTCTTTCTTTCTTTCCACTTCTTTTGATAATGCTTTATGAAGCTCTGCAAATTTTCAAATTACATGTTAAATTTCTACAGTATAAACATTTAAATATAATTTTCTAAGCTGTACTTCCTCATGCTGTTGTTTAGTGGTCTGTTCTGAGCTAGCTCTAGCTTTTAAAGTGTTTGGACAAGTTGGAGGAAATCGTTAGGAGTGTGACCATTAAAATAAACGCTACTGAAAAGTACTTTCCTGTGCTTTACTGTTTATTATATTGTACCAGGTGGTTCTAACGTTTGAGTCTGTGAATGAAATACTATAGTGTGACCATTCATAAACGAACGCTACTAAGTTGTACTCTTCTGTGGTGCTGTTTATTATGCTGTACAAGGCGATTGTAACTTTTGCGTCTGTGGATGAAATCCTAAAGTGTGACCATTCAAATGAAAGCTACTGGGCAGTACTTTCCTGTGGTACTGTTTATTATCCTATATAAGGTGGTTCTAACTTTTGACTCTGTGACTGAAAGTCACAGAGCAGTTCAAACGAGAGCTATGCACATTTGACTACCCCTTGATTCTTGTAATTATGTCGAGAGTCAGTGTAACCAATGAATTTCTTAGTGAATTCATACAAGTAAGAACGTTTTACCACGGAAATGAAAGCAGGAGCGTTTTTTCCCGTGGAACTTAAACTTTCCTAGTCTAGACTTAGTGCATATGGATTAAAGTGGTTGACAAGTTGTCACCCTTGATGACGAAAGTTCTCGCCTCTTCACATGTTTTAATCAATGTCTTTATTATGTAGATATAAAAGTTTGAACCGCATGCGGTCATCTTCGTTACCAATGGCAACAGGACTTTTTTCTTAGCACGGTTTATTACCTTGTTTGGACGGCTGGTGATGTGTGTTTGTTCATCAAGACAAAGTCTTTCATGGGACTTCAGCTTTAACATGCGCACTAGAAGTGACAAGAATGTTCGACTGGCGATTAATCATTACTATCCGCAACTAAACGTAGAGGAAACTTTACTTAAAAGTGCGAGTCATTATGGACTTGAAGAGATTAACATCGTTCCTTTGGATCTTTTATCTACTATTTCATACGAAGGCGCTAAATAAATAAAATGCACATGCTGGTGTAATGAATTCGTTATCATTATCTGATCAACATAAAGAGAATTAACAAAACCATTCACTTCGAAAAACCTATATCCCTAGAAACAAAATACCTTTCTTGGTTTTAGAAAAGAAAGTATCAGTCTTTGCTAAGCCATGTTATTTCGATTCATAAATGATTTAAAAAATGTGTGAAATAATTTCTTAAGAAACATGCACACACTTTGACCACTGCTACGGAAGCTTGCTCTATATTTTCTTCACTAAGATCACGTGATAAGGCTCTTGTTCTCGAGAGAGGAATTCCACCCTTCAATCGTGAAAGAATGGAACTCGCCGAAATTCTCAATGCAGATGAGAGGCCACTCGGGTTGTTGAAGTGCAATTCAGATACTATATACGTTCGACCTCGCTTAATGTACTTCGAATAACAGAGTATGCCTTCTATTTTAAATTCCTGACAGATAAATTCGGGTCCCTAACAGCTTACTGATTTTCATGATGGAATCGTGAAAAGAACCAAGTTTGAATAAAGCTCCATTAAAAATCCATTCTGATTTTAACTATTAGACTAAAGCATCCATGAACAGCTTTCGTTTAAGTGGCCACGTTTAAGTTCCATTTCATTGATACACTCGAAATCTGAACTGTACATATTACACAGTAGTGGAAACATAATACCCCATAAATGAACAATTCCAGTATTGGAGATGGCCAAACATATGAAAAAGAACCTCGATATAACGAAACCTCGTTTTAGCGAAACATTTTGCCAGTCCCTTGCCCCTTCGTTATATCGAGGTGATACTGTTCGAGGGACTACATCCACTAAAGGTTTCACACATGAAGGATAGATATTTAGAATGAGGGTACTAAGTCAGTTCACCTATACATATTAAAACAGTAAAAACTCTTATGGACCTTATAGTTAACCTTTTCATCATTGTTATATAATTTTCTTTAGTTTAACGCTAATACATTATGGATTACACTTTACGTTTGTTATTGCTAAATCCGGAGTAATAGGTATCAAGAACAGGGAGAAAAAGTTAGCGAAACTGGTGGAGGTTTAATTTTTATTTTTCTGTTCACTATGAGGATTAGTTTAAGTTCGTTGGCTTTTTTCATTGCGAAAAGGTTACTTGAAAGTTATGACGTTATTACAGTGACTTTATTAACATTAAAATAAACGGAAGATCATTTAGACGAAGGAAATAATTTTTTTTATTCTATTGCTGGGCTTATGAATTCGATTGATAGGGCGGAAAACTACTCAGCAACTTTCAAGTTTTCCGAGTGCAATTTCAACTTTATCACATACACACGAAATTGAGATTGAATTAAATCAGATTCTGTGTAAACTCTCCCATTAAGAAATACGAAGATAAGTTTCGGAAATGTCAGTTTGAATTTATGAAAAAATTGAAACCAAAAAGAAAAATGTTTGTGTACATCCTTGGGTTTGACGAGACGTCGCCGAAACAGAAGGAGATATCGCCAATCAAAATTTACTGTTTAATAAAATACGTTCCTAAAGGTTAACAATAACCAATGATTTTCTCTCAGCGGCACCTGAAAACACAGCCATAAAGGAAACAAAAACTTAAGTCAACACCACGGTTTAGTAATCAAATATCTTTGCACAGTAAACGGCGATTTTTAATTAAAGTTAGTGTTATTAAACTATTGTTGGACATACAAAGCTGCTTCAATAAACAAACAGAGCCTTTGATATCCCTTTTGTAACCAACGATATATCACTTGTGGGACTACTTTATTTTCTCGCCACATAAAAAAGTTGCAAATGCGCGGATCAGTTAGTGTACAGAGCTAAATGAATTAATATTTTTTGGTGAAAATTTTAAGTTTCACGTGAGATTTCTTTAGGAATTAGATTTGATGGTGTAGCTCGCTGTTTGAACAGCCATTTCCTAAGCTTTATTTAACCAATAACTTTGAAATGTCATAATCCTCTGACATAAAATCACAGTTAATGATGTCTTTTTAATTCTCTTCTGACAGCCAGGAAGAACAAGAAAACTATTCACAAAACTTCTCTTTACAATGATCCGAAAAGACTTCTTTTTCCTTTGTACAAAAGGAAATCGGAGCTCCATTCTGTCTAAAATGAAATTATCGGGGATTTCGCACCGGCCGCAGAATATTACAACGGAAAATTTGCTTCCGATTTGAGTCAGCAATTTTCTATTAAATTTAGCGGGGCTTGGTACGAAAGCGTCAGTTTTTTCCTATTCGAATGGGACGAACTGCAAATTGTGATATCTAATTAAGATTGAAGCAAAAAGTGAGCAGAGTTGACGAGACTAATTTTATGTAGCAATGAAATCGCACTTTTCGACAAACTTCCTGAATATCGTTCAATATAGGAAATTTAAAATCTAAATAAAAACCCTTTATTGCCTCGTCAGTCAATACAGCTAATCCTTAAACAATCAATGAAATTTTCCCTATCATAGTTACATGTGGACCGAAAAAACCCTTTGACTTTTCTCACCAAACTTATAAAACATCACAATAAAACAAAGCAAAACAAAAAGTGCTAAATCTATACTATTACATTTCAAGCTTTTCTCTCCCCACCAAAGAGACTCTTTCGTTGTAGTCGATTTATGACTTAGTATTGGTCGAAGCTTTTTGAATTAAAAATGCAGAATACTAAGTAAGACATTTTCTATATCACAAAGTTCCTGCTCTATTTACTGCCTTTTTTTTTTCTGAAGACGTAGGCTAAGTTAGCTCAGGATTCAAGCCAATTTAAACCAGCTGAATGAAACGTATCGAGCAATATATTGCTATATACTGGGACAATTGCCAATAGACCCAGCCGGGATATGAGATTACGCGGGGCCCCGACCCGTCCCGTGTTGGAACCTACGCTAAATCGACGTTGACTCAATCAAGTTATCCTCTTTTATCGCGGAACAATGAAATGAAATCATTAAAAAATAAAATCGGCAAAGTTAAATGTGGTTGTAAAGACTCTCTTGGAAGAACTGCTTCTTGTTTTACAAAAAGCTTTCTTTCAGAAGCAGAAATCAAAATTACAACGCAAATAATAAGACTTATGGACAATAATACCCACTGGCACGCCATCGATTCGCCGCGAAAGACTATTTTTTGTTATTTTTGGTCGATTACAAACTTAATCTTTTAGATTCAATATTGATGTTATGGCCCAACGAAACTGTTTAAATATTTAAATACAAAAGAAACTTGATCTTCTACATGCAAAGACGAAAGTACCCTGAAGATATGGATAGTTTTTCAAAGTAAATGGTTGCCTCTTGAAAACAAGGAGGATATTTCGACCGAGGTTTATAAACTGACTCCTATAATCAAAACAGAGGCGGAACAATTAGGGAATTAAAAAAATAAAACTTCAGTTGGTTGATCTCTGAATTTCTGGCTTTTTAGTGATCTGTAAAACACTAATCGTTTTGTCGAAGCTGTTGAGTTGTACTTACAAGAGCAATGATTCAAATTCGAAATCTGTTAGCGGTGTTTTCTCGGGAGGCTGTTCATTACGACTGGCGTCTCTAACTTTTGAGGGTCTCTGGCTTAAGCCTCTAAGTATTACTTGCCGGAAGTGTTGTTTGTGGCTAAAATAATAAAATTTGACTGCATTGACTTTCTGTTCTTACGGTTCTTTTTGTGTTTTTTAGCATAAGCTAACATGGACGAAAGGAAATCGAGAGCTGAACTGTTCATCTCCTATGCTACAATTGAGTTTAAACAGGTACAAAACAATCGGTTACCAGTAACTCAAGCTAGATACTGCAGTCACAAGTTTTAGTGTATTTATCCCCTTTTAACCCCTTACAATGGAAGAGTAATAAGTGGCTTGGATGAAAAATAAGCACGAGAAAACTTCCAAAACCTTATAAATCAACGATACATCGCTGCGCCTTGACTTGTGAACTAAGAATAATCAAGTAAATCAAAACGATTCAGAATGTATCTTTTACACCCTATTCATAAAACACAGAGAGAATTCTTGGCTTCTAGCAGTTTCATTTATTCTTTGGCATTCATGATAAAATACTAGTGACGGTTTTAGTGTTCTATAAAGAAATCAAAAGACAGATGATTACACAAGGAATTCCCAATGCACACAGTTCACATTTGTGTCGGTAAACGATATTTTAACTTCGCGAACTTTTTGCGCCTAACTCTTAATACCTTACAAAATCACTTTATATCGAATTTCTCACTATTTACAAGATTATTTTCTCTACATTAAACCACGCTTCCCTTTTTCGTTGTCAGCTACGCACGCTTTCTGGTACCCGAAAGCAAAAAAAAACAATGGGACTGGAGCCCCTAAGGTGAATGTGTGTACAATTTACAGAATGTAAACGTTTTGCTGCGCTTCACTCGAGCTGACTTGTCTAACTTATTTACAAGTAAATTTTCGAAACGTGGCGTTGTCATTTCAAAACTTAACACTGACAGTGAACCCCCTTATCTGTTTTTAGACAAACGCTAGTTGAAAGAGCATTTACTATACTACTCCTGTTACTTTAAAAACATAGTCGCGCGGGCGCTTGGTTCGCTGTTCAGTATTCAATCACCAATACGTGGTAGGCTGGATGTACGTTGAGTTAACTGCCGTAGGATAGTGAAGATAGTCTCCTTGGTAGGGTGGACTACTTAGGTAGCTACAGCTTGGACTGAGGCAGCTGCAGAACTGTCCTGAACCGTTCAATAAAGCCCCTTGTGCTGACAAAGGTGAATACGGTTTATCCCAAGGCCCTCGCTCACTAATCTGCTTGCGGTATTTATATCTGTGGTTTTGAAACCAAATTTTCACTTGCGCTGGAGTAAGGTTCACTATCCGTGCAAGTTCTTCCCGCTCGGGTGCCGACAAATAGCGCTGTTGTTGAAATCTTCTTTCTAAAACAAACGTCTGCGCTTTTGTGAACAAAACCCTTCTCTTTCTCTTCTTGCTAGATTCTGATTGTTCCTTCCTGTCCGAGGCCAGTTGGGCGTTTGGATTCTGAGACTGAGACGGTGGTCGTTGTGCCGCGCCTGTGTGGGTAAGAGAGTTGCGGTTATCCATGTGAGTTTCTCAATAGACTACCAGTAGCATTATAAAACCTGAATAATCTACTTTGAATTAACCCAATTCACCTTATCTCGAGAATAAAAATGTGAATTGCCATTTAAAAGTTGTTGAAGTCAGAAATTCATAAATAAATATCGCGCTTGCCAAATTGCGCGCCATAAACCGACAAGTCATGAATCCTCAATGAATACGACCGAAATAGAGCCGGCATACAGCCCTAGAGTTGACAATTCCATTGACATATTTTTCGCACCATAGCAGAATTAATCACTTGAAACTTTTTCCGTTTCTATTGAGGTTATAAGTGGCAGTAAAGGATGCTATCGTTACAATATAGAACAGCTTTTTATGAGGCCAGTTATGGGACTCTAGTATCACACATAATAAAGCCTGACAGCTTAGAAGTGAAACTTCGAGATTTCTTAGATGTGGTGAAGTTTACAGAGTTTA